ATCAAAAAAGTACTCCAGAGTGTTGTTCAGCATGGGGGTGAGTAGAAAATGAAGGCTAATCATGTTTTGGGTGTACTATTCCTTTAATGTAATACTGTATCTCATTCTGTGGAATAAGCTTTAAGGTTTACTTAAAAACTCTGATTAAATTTATAAAATTATTCACATTTATCCAGTGTTTATTCTCTCTGTTAGACACCAATATCATAACCTTTGTACTATAATCAATGAATTACATTGTGTTGAAGGACCAAGAACACCTTTATCACTATACATATGCTTTATATGTTGTAAAAATATACTGTAAAATTATGCAATTTTTCTAAGGACACCAAGAATCTCCACGGGCCTATGTCATTGCATCTGTTAAACTGCTGTTATTTGAGATTGTTGGCTTTTAATGTTCATCAAGCAAAAAGAAGTTGTTTGTTTTTACTTTTTTTTTTTTATTTATTGCATAAATATAATTCATTTTCATATATAGGTGAACTATTGGGAATAGCAAGAAGGCGATGAACTTATTTGAATATTTACAGGTAAATTATCATTATTTAAAGGTATAGTGAAGGATGTTCTTTTTCCGGGTGGATCATCAAAATAAGTGGTCCTCCTAATTGTCAATCATTCTGGTGATATGTTTACGTAAGGTCATCCTACGTGCTTGTCTCCATTTCAGTTACCGGTGGTGAGTCTGACATAGTGGAAAAATAGCAAATTTTCTTATGGAAAGTAAGCTGGTATGAGCGATGCAAACAGCAACTTTTAAACAGAGCGTGCACCAGGAGAAACGGGCCTCTGCACGCCCTCAAATGCGTTTCATAGGCGTTCCCTCTCGGGAGGGGCGCAGGGTTGCGCTTTTTTTTTTTAAGTGGACGGGGCGGGTCTTTTGAAAAATTCTCTAAGATCCTCCACTATACCTTTAAATTGCTAAATTTAAAACAATACTTGGACTGAAATGTAATTCAATTTAAGCCATTTTCTATAAATAATTTGAACTTTGGAGGTGTTTAAAATTATTTTAGCTTTTAATCAGAATATTTCTGCTCCAAGAAAAGAATATTATTGATTATTATTTATTTTGGTTTTTACAGAAGAGGATTAGGGCCACTGAAAAAAAAAGTTTACTGATTTTAAAATTCTGACTTTAATCTCAGAATTCTGACTTTTTTCTCAGAATTCTGACTTTAATCTCAGAATTCTGAGATTAAAGTCCGAATTCTGACTTTTTTCCCATACTATACTGAAATAAAATTAAAAAAATCACTTAACTTTTTTTTTTTAGTGGCCCTAATCCTCTTCTGTATGTTTTGACTCAATCCGTTCGTTTTTTTTTTCAGCGTAAGGAAGACTTTGCTAGCCTCGTGAGACCATCCCGATCTTGCGAGCTTTCAAGGTTTCACTCGCAGATCAGTCTGGAGACTCTCCGTTGAAGAAAATTTGGAGCCGTTCACCAAACGAACGTCCAATCAGCGTTGGCTTTGAGGCGGGTTGAGGTGTGACGCAACGAGAAGCGCGACGGTTCAGTCTAAAGAACATGGCGGCTTCAGGTGATGAAACTA